CTGTGCGTCCTTCTGCATTTTTTCTGGGTAGACTGACGTTCATTATTCCCTACAGCTTATCGGCGAGTTCCTCCAGGCTTCTTCTGTACCACAAGCATGTTGGACGGTTGTTGGGATAGGTATTCGTATTGCGCAGGATGTAGGTGCTCACCGACGGAAGCCAGGGAAAATACATACTACTGAGAGCGAGTTGTGGAACCGAGCGTTCTGGTAGGCACTTGTTCTTAATATGCTATCCAAACTAATGTGTTATGTTTACATAGGGTCCTAGTGTGCATGGACCGACTGTTTAGTTCGTCCCTTGGGAGACCATGTTCAATACAAGATGAGGAGTTCTGTCTGTTTTCTATTTATGGCAGAAATATAGCTGATGAGATACTAGTTTCGACATCGACATGCCTGTTGAATGTGATGATGAGTACTGGGAGCATCCTGATCCAAAACTTCGCTGGCAACAACCCACACCAGAGAAAACCCCTTCCGTTATGGTGTACTTCAGTTGGTATATCAAGTTGAACCACATTCTCGCATTCTTGCTTAGGACAGTGGTAAGAATGATTCTGCCTTTGTTCTTCGTTTTTGACTTTTTCTCTGTTGTACCAGTACGCTATCAACAAGTCGCGGATCCTTTACGGCTTCGTAGGTCAACAATGGGAAGAGCATATCGTTTCCGAACTAGACTCTGCTTTGAACTCCTGGATGCTCAAACTTCCTGATCATCGTATGTCCTTTACTCTCCTATCTCTCTGCCACTCCAACTAATTACTCCCGCGTATTTCAGTGCGATGGGATCCCACACGTCTTGATGAAGTATTTTTCAATCAATCAGCCTCTCTTTACTGCTTTTACCAACATATCCAAATCCTTGTTCATCGTCCGTTCATCCCGACGCCACAGAAGCCTAATAAAGCACTTTCGTTTCCATCTCTTGCTATATGTACGAACGCGGCGAGGGCGTGTAGCACAGCGTTGGATATTCAAAGAAGGAGGTTTGGACTTGCACCGCCGCCTCTGACGGTAAGTCTTTTGTATTCCAGTTTCACAAGACTATGTATTGGGCGGGTGTCAATTAATGTATTCTGGATCTTTGTAGACGGCGGCGTTTTCAGCTGGTGTGGTTCTGCTGCTGAGTATCTGGGGCGGCCGTCGCTCGGGTCTTCCGATGGATTTTGATAAAGAGATGGTGGATGTAAAGAAGTGTATGGATGTTCTGGCGCTTGCGGAGGTTAGGTACGTAGATTCCTTGCTGATTTGCCCTTTGCTTCACATCAGACATTTTTTTTTATAGATGGTATCTTGCTGGCCGTCTCAGGTGCAAATATTCTTTTGTAAATGACCTGCTATGGTACTGATGACAAATTTTTTTATCCTCCAAGTGACATCCTCCACGAACTTACCTCAGTCGGGGATATGCCACTGCCACAACGCGAATCACATTCACCACCTGCTATTCTTAAGCGCGAGCGCAAGAAAGATGCCGACGATGACGACGACGAGTACGTGCCTAAATCAGCTGCGCGTTCAGGTAGGCGGATCAACAAACAAGCCGACTCCATGCCTATGAAGGACCCTATTGGAGTACAACGGGCTCAAACTCCCCCATCCCAGTCACTATTCCAATCATATAACCTTCCTGGGTATGATTTTGACTTTCACCAGTCCCAACAACAGAAGCAGTTCCCACAACAACCCTCACTGAACCCACAACAATATTGGCCCCGCCAGACCACGTCTCAACTCTCCCAGAAACAATATGATACATACGTCCAACCTCGTCTCGATGCCTCTTCACAAGACCAGCCTCCAGTGAGTGTACCTGCTTTGGGCCAGAACTTTAGACCAGCAATATACGGTAGCGAACCTGGAGCAATGTCGTCTTTCATTCCCTCTAGAGCCGTCGAAATGGGCCATGGTATAAGATCTGCATATTCACATCGGACCGGCGGCGAAGCTGCGGATGCTGTAGATACTGTGGGTGTTGATCTGGGTCTTAGGCAGAGAACTGAGGATACTGGACTTGGGTCGGATTCTGCGGGAGGTCTGATCCAAAATGTCGATCAGACGTTTATCTGGTCTAATGCTCCAGCTTCTTTTGAGTACGTCGTTTTGACTCATTACTGGTTTCAAATTTTTATTCAATAATAATAGGTTGGATGAATGGGGCAATTACCTTTCAGCATTGAATACTCAGAGTGTACCTCCTGGTCGTGGACCATACAATTCTGCGGGATGATGATACTGTAAAGGACTAATGACTAAATAACACTTGTTATGGAGGTTGAATTACAGGATATCTGGTTGCTCCATCATAATGTTCATCTTCGCACTCGGACTATTTTTCGCCATTCAAACAACTCATAAACCTCGAGACTGGTGGCTTCCTGGATAACCTTGTGTTACATAGAGCTTGAGGCTTGAGCGCTTGTGCAGTGAACAATTCAGACGATCACTAATATACCTTCTCTTTTGGTGTTCCATGTATCTTCCTGTAGTGGTTGTCGGAAGAAATGCTAGTACTTCTAGGTAGCCTAGAGTCAATAGAACCCCGACAGACAATGATGGGCTACTTACAACCATTTACCTACCCTAGGCTTTTGCTTCAAATTGAAGGTGTTAGTAGACATAACCTTGGCGCTGATAATAATGATGTAGATCAGCCCCAAGTAGTGTGTGCATGAATGCTGTAAAGAGATGCTTCTCAAAGCCGAATATGATATGGAGCTGTGGTGGACTAGAACTTAGTAGAAGTACTTATCGGTATGATCTGTCGTCATCAAGTGATCATTTACGCTCGCCCGGGTACATCCAAACTCCCACGGCAGAAAACATGTATCCAAGAAGAGCGCATGTAATTGCCATGAGGAGAGCTTTTTCAAAGTTGATACTTATTCAGCAGAGTTGCGCACCCCATATGTCGAAAGATCAAGATAGAATGAAACGCCCGGCGCACAAACGCCGGCTTGAATTTTGAGCTGAATTAGATCCGAGCTGAACGCAGATTAGGCTCTGATCTAATCTTACTGTATCTTTATAAAGCTCATGTATCGTCATAGTCTTGCATACCTGATCCCCTATTGCTATCCATAATGATTGGAATGTATGGTGCTGTCCTTTGCGGAAATATTGTCAACGCTTGGTGAAGAAAAGCCATACTTCTTTACTATGCTACTATGGCTTTTGACCACTGTTGATTCAGGGTACTGGGATTAGCCTCTGTGCTATCATACCAGTATTTCTTCAACTTTCCTCGAGATGGAAAAGGCTTAAAAACTCTTGTGAGCCATACCAGCCATATTTAAGCTGTAACACTGACAAATTTGAGGGGGATAGGTTATCTGGGTAGGGTATGTTCACTTAACAAGGTCCTTACATCAAGTGTTATATTGAGCTATTGTAGATTGTTGCATGTGCTCTACACGTAGGCATAATCAATCCCCTCAAAAGGTTTTGCCTTCAAAAACTCTTTGACCTGTAGAATCATCACCTCAAAGTTGGCATATTTCTATTTTGTTGTGTCCTTTGGAAAAAGCAAAGAATTTGACATCATCAGATGGTAGGTTGAATGTTGATTTGAATTGTCTAATTGCAGGACCAAACACTCATTTTTTGCATAGGGAGTGGTCAGCATATCTGGGAATTTCGGTATTGAGATCTTTACTTGTGCGAGATGATATACAATACAGCCGTTTTGCAGAGTATCATAGCATTTACTGTTCAAGCATACAACACACGAAGAATTTATGCTTGTGAGTCATTATCTTGAAGTTACAGGAATGAAAATTACTGATCATGCTTTGTGTGAAAACAGTGATCCCAAACCTTCTCTTGTGTGGTGTGATTGTCAGTTGCGCATTTTATCTTTTCCAATCATGATTGAACTCAAATTCAGTAATGATCACAGCTCCTTCTTGCTTTTATGCAACTGGGTAAGACATTTTTTGCATTTATCTCCCAAAAGACACATCTGAGCAGCCCAAATCATAGCCTTTGGGTTTGTAATAGTGGCAGAAATACATATCCTGGTATTCTGGATCAAAATTCTCCCCATGAAAGTATGTGTCTATGCTCTCATCTCTTAAAATGATTCTAAGAGGATTCAGTGGATAGCCTTTGTCTGGCTTTCAGCTGCTGCGGGCTGTGACATTGTCATCACTGTTGCACAAGTTGCCTACCTTCTCCATCATAAACCAGGTGTTAGCAAGTAGATGATTTTCTGATGACAATCACTATGTATAATTGACTTGGAGTCTGCAGGAGGACCAACCATATTATTAATATCCTCATGATCTACATTCTAAGCACTGGGCTCTTAACAAGGTTTGCAAACAATCCAGGAATCTATATTACCAAGCTTACTGACCACAAATTTAGTATTCTGGCAATTATTGAATTAACAGCTGTAGGTCAACAGATCCTGGATTCTCTCAGGTGCTTTCTGATTTGTTCTTCAGATTGCCACCTTGGAATTCAACTTTGTGCCTATATTTCTTAATACCATCTTGGGTCCCTGTGAAGTTATGTTTTTCTGATAATCTGTTCTCGATTTACATGAGTTCTTCAGGCTATATAATTTCCTTCCTTGCAAAGTAAGCCTCACTGCCTTCTTGGCTTATTTAATAGAGTAACACATGATCACTAGTTTGGATGCACGCCGTTATATACGTGATTCAGACCGCAACTACATAAGCATGAGTGGTCTGAGGACATCCATTCATATCGAACCAGACACTGCTCCCGGCACGAACGATGTGAAAAATCAGGTATGTCAGGATATTTATGTTTCTTGACAAGATCGATGCCCTCACCAGTCGTTGTACAAAAGATTTTGGCAGGGAGTTAGCCATACTACCACATTGTCAATGATTCAATTTTCCTTTGAAATTCCGACATATTGTTGTTGGTGAACTAATTATACTTGAGAATATGTATTATAAAGGCTGGTTATGAACATCTCTCGGATTATGAGACAAAATTGTCAAAGATATGTCCCTCATGCATCCTTCGGATACGGGGAATCGAACCCCGAGCTGCCGCGTATTCTGTGAAAGGCGGCAATGTTAGCCGTTACACCATATCCGATGTTAAATTCATTTGTCGTATCGTCATTGAATGTATGATCGAAGACAAAGAAAGCAATTCAGACAAACCAATTCAGACAAGTCAGACCTCAAAGGCCTCAATGGGCAAACCATACTCTGGAGCATTATTGATTACCATTGAGTTAGCTTTATTTACATCGCTTTATTTACATCGAGTAATGCTGGCACTTCCTTGGCCATAACTAAGTTGTGACACATCCGGGCCACAGCCCTATTACATAGCTCAAGTATGTATACCTTCTCCTGACCCATCTGTGAGTGTTAGTTGAAGTGGCAGAAACATCGGAGCCGGTACTGCTGCATGGCCGGAGCATAAGTTGAACCTGGATACAGGAATGGAGCCCTGAGCTGCCGCGTCAGAAGGGATGAGATCCGAGTTGGGAATGTTGGCCATTATACAATATCGACCATGACACAAACACTAGATATCTCATTAGAACTATAGGAACATTCCAGTAACGGAGTAGGCTGCAGCTGCAGCGTAGGTACATCATTGTTCAGTGCTCACCACGCAGATGACACTGCAGAGCATTGTCTCAGCTTTATGGCAAGCTTAAGCAATCCAGAGCCCTAGCAGAGTTAATTATCTCAAAAACGCGATGCACTATGGTACATACTATAACTTAGTAAGGTATACTTTCAAAATCCAGTGCGTTGCAGAAACTGCTGCATAGCTGGGAGCACCTGAGTAGGCTTTGAAAGAAAAAACTGCAAGATCATGGATTATAGATGACAGATGATATTCCTACTACTGAGTACGACCAGGAGGGTCCACAATTATCGCCTTGCATATGCAAAAACATCAAACCTCACTTCGTTATTCGGATACGGGGAATCGAACCCCGAGCTGCCGCGTGACCAACACAAATCAAGAGATGATTGATGAGAGGCGGCAATGTTAGCCGTTACACCATATCCGATGTTACTATAATCGTAAAAATGTCACTACTGGACGGATTTGACTACCCTCAGCTCCAAGTAGCCGTAGCCGCATATCTGAATGTGCATGAACAGTGAAGCGATCAAGTATCATCACCGCTCCTGATACAATCCCGGTCAATAGACATAAGCCTAACCTTTGAAAAAGAACTCGAGGCCCCCGGTGTTCTATTGTCCATTCCGACGATGCGTTTTGTTGGGCTTGTATAAAATTGCCGGAGCAAGACGATGGAATCAGATGGATTGTATGACCCTCAGCGAGCGCTGACAAGGAGAGTGCAAAGGGACGGGAGTGTGGATATGTACTGATCTCGCTTTCGACAAGCACTTGTGCGCACAGGAATAGCTTAGGCAGAAATGCACATAAATCTTCAAGCTGAATCCGGAGGAGACATCAGGCGGTTGGAGGCACACGTCAGGTCAGCCTTATGTATCAAAGCTCAAGGTTTAAGGGGTGAGAAACTAGTAGAGGGACAAGCATTGAGGTTTCTGCGTCCAACGTCGGGAAAAGTATACGAGTCATGAACGGAACATTTGTGCTTAGCTATAAAGCGCTTTGCTTGCAAAATTTAAATTTTCTATAGATGAAACATGAACGCCTCGAGATCAATGTTTCGGGGCACTCTCTAGCAAAGTTCTGGCATTGGCATCAAGGATGCCTTCGTCTACAAGCAAGTCAACAAAGTGGCCGATCCAATTTTGGCAGTTCTCGATCTTGGGCCTCGGGGCATTAACATTATCCTAAACAAAAGATACAAGAAATGGATAAGATTCAATTCACGGTCCAAAATAATGACGCCACTCACACTAGCTGACCTAAGAGTTTTCTTCGGTGCCGGGACGCTAAAAGCCAATTTCTCAATCGCATCAATTGATTCAATGCTAGGGGCCTCGCAATCATCATCCGCAGTGAATATAACTTGATCTTTGAGATCAACGTCAACTACCAAATTGCTGTCGATTTGGCCTAGGATGATGAAGCTGTAAGCGTGTCGTGTGGTGCTCATGTCGTAGCCTCGCTTGACCTCGTGGACAAAGCCGGTGACGGGACTCCCGGTGACATGTAGGACTTTCCCCAGGTCCTCGCCCTCAGCTTGAGGAATGCTTGGAATCCAGATTGACCAGTGCGCAGCGAAGAGTGGGTTGGGGGAGATGATGAGGAAGATGTCGCGTTTGACTGACGGTGTCGATGGTGTCATGTTAGTAACTTATGGAAGGTCACTGAAGAGAGTGGGTGATATTTATTTGCTACGCGAGTCATGTCATCCCCAAGGCTGTATGGTTATAGCGTGGCTCGTGACTAGAAGCGTGGACAGAAGTGTTTACGTTTATGTAGCTAAACGTTTGATTGCACAAGCTGAGATTCGTCGGGGGACTTTTGCTGCCGCCTCGACGATTTTTGTGTTAGAATACCGTGGACGTGATGATGTGAAGAGTACCGCGCACACCATTGTCAGGGAGCTAGGGCCACCGAGGGCCACCGACTCCTTTGTCTGAATCTGATATATATACACACCCGCTACTGCAGTACCCTCAGTCTCGATTATACAATTCTGAGGGTACGTTACTTACACCATACTCATATCCACTCATACTGATAGTCGTACCTAGAATACTTCAACTGATATAATCTGTCTTCTAGGTACATACAATATAGTCTCGATTATACGATTCTGAGGAATACTTCAACTGATATAATCTGTCTTCTAGATATAATCTGTCTTCTAGGTGTTACCAACACCTGTCTATTGTCACTGCTAGTTGGGATTCCAACAGGTTATGGGCAAAAACTGAGCAGGCTACTCGTTGTACCGCTGCTCGTTGGAAACCCTTTTGTCTTCTCTGTTCCTGGCCTTACGGACCAACCCAATTTGGGATTATCTCCAAGCCATCACTCCCCTTGTCGGGGATATCACATATCTTATCCCAATTCAGGAAAGCGCTCTATTGTCCTTTGACAAAAAAGAAATCTTCTACCTCCCTGCTAGACTACGACAGTCAATTCTGAGATGTCTTCTTCTGACACTAATGCTCCGTCCATCCGTGCCATATCCATCTGAGGCGTGGATTGGAAACATGACAAATTCAACAGAAACTCTCCCACCGCCAACTTTGCGAAGTGGTCCAAAGCCCTCGAGATCCACCTTTCACTGCTAGGACTCAAATTCTATGCTTTTGGACCACTTGTCAGGACACCCAGTGACACCGCTGAGCCAGTGGCTTACCAGAACTGGGTTGCTAATGACGATCTCACCAAAGCAGTCATCCTCACAGCCCTCGACAAGACTGAGTATAAGGGAGTGGACAATGCCCCGAGTGCAGCAAAGCTGTATGCACTTGTGAAAGCGCGAGCAGAGGGAGAAGGACCTGTCTGTATGGTCATGTTGATCCAAGAAGTGCTGTGAATCCAGTGCTCCCCCAGCGAACCCCTGCCCGACACCGCGAAGCGCATCTGTGACATCGTGAATCAGAATTTTGCCATTCAGACCCTGGACAGGGACATCTTCAAATGTGTTGTCCTTCTAAACAGTCTAAACAGCACTCAGTATGAACCGATCCAAGCCCAGATCTCCAGGGGACTTGCCGATGCAACAAAGGCGACACCATACATGCCAGACAATATTAGAAAGCTCCTGGAGACCGTCCAGAACCTCACCACGCTGAAGGCATCAAACGGAGCCCTATTGACAGACACTGCACTGGCTGTGACAAATTGAGGGTGTTTTAAGTCGACGAAACCATGGCTCCCTGGACATTCTCACCACGCTGGTACAAAATGTTGCACCACCTGTGCCACCCATGGTCGTCCATGTGGTGGACACGAAGCCCCATACTGTGCTCATCCAGGAGGAGCAATGGCGAAGGAAGGTTTTGAAGCCGCCAGGAATGCTGCCCGGGCAGCAGGCAGCGCCCCACCTGCGAAGGGAAAGAGCGCTCTGGGGAGTCACCCGAAAACCTACACACAGCTTACTGGCCCAGCAGGAAAAGTTTATCTGCTTGAGGAAAGTCAGCTGGAGAAGCTACAGACACTCAGTACTACGCCCAACTCAGCAGGCTTTGCAGGACTGGTGACGGACGAGGTACCCGCCAGACTCAACGAGGTAGAGTGGGAAGGCTGGATGGCGATCATTGAGGAGGAGATAGAACCGATGGCATCCGTTGACTGGCAGGAATACTCACACAAAGTCAACCAACCCTGTCCGACAACGATCGCCCCCCTCAACCAGGACTTGGAGACAGTACTCGCCACCACAGCAGAACATCCATTCTTCATAGACTCGGGAGCGACGGTACACATATCTCCATGCAAATCCAACTTCTTAACTCTCCAACCCATCACTCCCAAAGCTATAAAGGGTGTGGGTGGCTCAGCGATTTCCGCCTGTGGAATAGGGTGCATCCAGCTACGCACTGCAGAAGGAACCATGGTCCCCTTGTGCAACGCACTCTACGTACCAAACTCAACTGTCTGCCTCATCTCTGTAAGCCGAATGTCCCTCGACAATAATACCTACACCCGCTTTGATCGCGAAGGTGTACACATTGTCGACTGTATCACCAAAACCATGATTGCCAAAGGCCCCTTGTTAAAAGGGAAGAAACTGTATTCGATTGATCTATCAGGAGCAGTAGCCGAACACGTATATGCCGTCCATCAACAAGCTGACCTCGAAACCTGGCACCGTCGCCTAGGTCATGCCAACTATCAAGCCATCATGCAGTTAGCCCACGATCACAGGATCAATGGTGCGCTCACTCCCCTTCATCGTCAACCGCCAAAATGTGACAGTTGCATTCTGGGCAAGCAGACCAGAACACCTGTTCCAAAAGTTAGGCAGGAGGGACATAGAGCAACGCAGAGGCTTGAGATAGTGTGGGCGGATCTGATGGGACCGGTGAATGTGCAGTCGAGGTCTGGAAATCACTATATACTGGATGTAGTGGATGACTATACCAACATGGCCTGGTCCTTTCCTCTTAAAACAAAAGATGAAGCGTTTGAAACACTGAAAGCTTGGGAACTCGCTCACAAAAATGAGACAGGCTTGAAAGTTGGTAAATACAGGACTGGCTTCGATGGCGAACTTAAAAGCAATCAAATGGAGGAGTGGTTAGCATTGAGAGGGGTGACAAATGAACACAGCGCACCATATATGTCTGCCCACATTGGGAGAGTTGAGCGCATGCACAGGACACTGATGGGAAAGGCAAGATCAATGAGAATCGACTCAAATTGTCCAGAATACCTGTGGGATGAGTTCTATCTCACAGCGACGCACCTTCACTCAAAAACGCCTACCAAGTCACTCAACGGAAAGACGCCTTACGAAAAATGGTTCAACAGACAACCCAATTACTCATACATGCGTGAAATAGGATGCCGCGCATTTGTGTTCATAACCACCCACAATCCAAAAGTACAACTGCGTTCGATCGAATGTATACTAATTGGATATGGTACCAACTCCAAGACGTACCGCTGCTGGGACAAGAACAATAGAAAGGTCTACCAGTCCTACCACGTCAAGTTTATCGAGCACCATGAAACTGAGAACGGCACAGACTCACCTCCATCGCCTTCAGTCAAGTCCAATATCCCTCCTATTCCCAGCCTACAAGAGCTCGACGACGCTTCACCCCTGACACCCCAAGACAACGACAATGACCTCAGCGGATTTGACATCGACGAAGAAGCACAAGGAACGAAACTTGAGCAAAACGACGCTGACCCAACCAAAACTGCAGGACTACGAAGGTTGAGTCAGGTATGACAACCAACTGAGAAGGTGGCAGGGGATACAAGGAGACCACCAACGAGGCTAGAGAGAGCAGTTGAGGAGTCGAGGCAGAGTGGGCAAAGAATAAAAGAGCAGAGGATGGAAAGGAGGATAGAGGGGCAAGAGTCAAACACAGCGGAGATGGAGGCAAAGGACAAACATCAAGCGCCTTTGACAATCGAGAGTAACAATCAACAAGCGCC